CTTCTGATGTAAACTCGCTTAGTTTGAGCATCGTATACCCTGTACGCCTTACTAGAATCATTATATCCAACCATAACACATTTTGTTGCATTTTTCTCCCATTTGGTGCGCTGATCTTTGGAAATAATAACATATGCGTCACAACCAAAAACTCGTAAATGCTTAACTGTAGGTTTCTTTTTAAACCATTTTTCATAAGGTGTAGAACCTTCTAGAACTTCAGTTGATGTTCGATTTTTAAGATAAACTGCTGTATTTGTTGCTTCACCCCACAGGAAGGAAGGTACAATGGAAGGTCTCTTGCATGCGACATAGCTTTGGCACTTTCAACAATAGTTCTGTTTTGACGTTTGATAAAACCATTTTGTTCTGGTGATCTCGGAGTAGTGATTTCATGTTTGATGCTGTGCTGTAGTAGAAAATTTTCGATATCATCATTACAAAACTCTAAACCACCGTCTGAACGTAATCTTTTAATTTTATGTCCATCAGATTGAACATCTGCAATAAACTGCATAAGTTTCCCAATAACTTCAGTCTTGTTTTTCAAAAAATATACAAAGCAGTATCTGGAGTAGTCGTCTTTCAACAACATAAAATAGTTTGCTCCACCAATTGACTGCGTGCTCATTTTTCCACACAAATCAACGTGAAAAGTTTCAGCAGCATGCTGCGCACGGTTTGCACCTGTTTTTGGAAAAGATTCCCTGTGCTGTTTGCCGTATGTGCACCCTTTACAAAAAGGCATTTCTTTTGGAATGGATCCAACCTTCAAATCTGAAACAATATTTTTATTAATCATTTCTCGTAACGTTTTGAAATTTACACGTCCTATTCGTTCGTGCCAAAGTTTAATTGAATCAGAACAAACGACATTAAGTTCCGCAAACGCTGCTGCAAGTGGCTTCAAATTCAATTTGTACTTGCTAGCTGTTAAAACCGCTATGTTCGTTGTCTTCTGCGATCATTTTATTGTTTTTCATAAATAACACACGTCCTGTTCCTTTTTCAAATTGTACATCCATTGATTTAGCTGCTATTGATATAGAAATAAAATTTTTATCAAGATCAGGTACTAATAACACATAGTTAATTGTGTATACAGCATCAGCAACTTCTACTTTTATTTTTCCTTTTCCAGCAACACTTAAATTTCGCCCATCGCCAAGTCGAACATGATATACTGCATTTGGCAATTCAATATAATTCATAAATAACTCCCTCTGAAACGACATGTGATCAGTAGCTCCAGAATCTGCATAAGAAATATTTAAATTTTTGCTTTCAGTACTTGAACTTTTATGTAGAACAAATAAATGTGCATTTCTATTGTCAATTGTATTTGTCATTTTATCATTTTCTTCTTTTCGTACTACGAGTGAGTGTCTTTCACTTTTGGTGTATTGTTCTCTTTGCTTTTTACGGCATTCTCTTGCCCAGTGACCTTCTCTTTGACAATAATGGCACTTACCTGATGTTGTTGTTATTTGTGAGATTTTTACCTGATTTTGCTATATACGCAGATTTTATTGTACTATTTTATTGAGTGTCAGCTGAACGTAAAATCATAAGCGCCTCTTCGTTTACTAAATGCTCTGTCAGTTTTTCAACTTTCTGATCGCTTTTTGAAACAGCATACCAAGTAGTGCGTATATGATCAAACTTTGCAGGAAGTCTACTCAAAATCTTTGCTATTATCATCGGCACTTTTTGTTCAAGATCTATATCTTTCAAACGTTGCGCTAGTGAAGTTATTGATGCAATAAAGTCAATCATACTTTCTTCCTTACCCATCTTACATGTAATGAATTTTTCCAACAGTACTTGCGCTGATTGGTCATTGTTCTCTGAATGAACAGTTTGCAATCTGGACCACATTTGTGCAGCTGTCTCGCAATCACTCAAATATTTAAGTTGATCTAGTTCGATACCTCTCATTAAGAATACTTGTGCTTCAGCATCTTTTTCGTCCCAAACTGTTGCGTTGGCTGTAGTTCTAATTTCAGTGCCAAATATATACCTTTTAAGTTCATTTTATGTCATGTAGATGATCATTTGCCGGCGCCATAGCTGATAGTTCTGACCATTAAAGCGATGAATCCGATATGACTTCATTTCTGACATATCGACAGAATGTTCACTGATTGTTGTGTCAAAAATTACAACCTCAATTGAATCGTTTAAGTCGTTTCCAATAGCTGAGTCGGCTACCAAAGTACTTTGTACTTTCTGATGCGAGTTTTCCATACGAAAATCAAAAAAAATATGATGTTACCTTAGCACACTGGGCCCATAACCTGTTGTGATATTTTAACTTGATATCAATGGATTACTTTATTAAATCACTTCTACTGAATTTGATATAATATAATGAATAAAGATATATACATGTGATGTGATGTTTAACTAACACGTGAAAGAACAAAAGTATTTTCGGAATAAAAACCGGAAGCAAGAGAGACCTTTTTAACATAAGACAAGTGTTTGAAAATTAACAATAAAAGTTTCTATCCCAAAACGTAGTATTAGGATGTTACAAAAATGTTTAAAGAAAAGCGTAATATTCAACAGAAAACAATTCAATAAAAACACTAGGATTGAAATGGAATCCAAAATAGAATGAATTCCAATTCTCAATAAATATATTATCAAATGAGAAAATAACTAAAAGAATGGTAAAAAAAATTATTTAATCGCAAAATTATTTATACAAAAACTTTGGTAATTAAAATATGATTGGGATGAAAACTTAAATGAGCATATTCATAAACAATTCGAAGAATATAATAAAAATATACAAACAGTGGAATAAATTCGAGCTCCAAGATGGATGGAAGTCTTGAGTTCAGATAATTGGGAGTTACATGGATTCTCGAAGCCGCTTATGCAGCGGTAATGTACATCACTTGAATTAAATACAATAAATTTAAATTAATTTAAATATAATTCAAGTTTACGCACCCACATCTGATGCTCCTGATGATGAAATTGAAATATTTTGATTGTATTTTTAAATACAATCATTGATAAGAAGTACAAAGTCAAGAGATGTTCTGATGGTTATGGGTGACTTTAATGCCAAGATAGACCAAGGTACAGACGATGCTATTTTTGGCAAATTTGGCCTAGGTGAAAGAAACGAAAGAGGTGATCGTTTGGCTGAATTCTGCAGAAGTAATAAGTTGATTACTTCCAATACATTCTTTAAACTGCCAAAACGAAGACTTTATACCTGGAAGTCACCAGCTGATACAGCAAACAGGGTCATTCGTAACCAAATCGTCCTTATAACAATAAGTAAAAGATATAAGAACTCAATTAAATTCGCAAAAACTTTCTCCGATGCGGATGTTCCATCTGATCACAACTTGCTAGCTGTTAAAATCAGTATTAAGTTCAAAACGATAAGCTCAGCTCAACCGAGGAGTAAACTCAATGTACAGAAATTAAAAACCCCAGATTTGAGGATGCGAGTTGAAAATGAAATTGAAACGAAGTTATTAAGTTTACAACTCGACGACATGTCCATTGAGAAAATATCTATGAAAATTAAAAATACAATAATGGAAGTTGCAAATAATGAAGTGGGCGTGGTCAGATCTAGAAAGAAAGAAGTTTGGATGACAGATGAAATCCTGGAATTAATGGACGAAAGAAGTCGGTATAGAAATAAAGATAATAGCAAATATAAGGATATGCAGAGATCTATACGTGTTCTTATTAGAAAAGCGAAAGAAGAGTATCACAAAAAAAAAGTGAGGAGATAGAGGGTTATTAAAGAAGATACGATTTATTTAACTTACACAAGAAAATTAGAAACATGACGACATCTAAGAGAAGCACACTTATGGATACCGAAGGTAAATACGTAACAGAAAAAGACGAAACACTTCGCATGTGGGAAAGCAATATCCGAACTGTATTTGCGATCAACCGATCATCTCTGACAACCGATCTAAGTGATGATTCAGGTCCATATGTAACCTTAGATGAAGTTCAAAAAGTAATTGATGGTGCAAAAATAGGAAAACGGTGGGTTCTGACCAAATACCAACAGAATTGGTGAAGCTATTCAAAGATAATGGTATACGTAATTAAACAAGATTTTTTAATAAAATTTATAATACAGGTCAGATACCAAACGATTGGCTTCAATCTACATTTATTTCTATTCCAAAGAAAACTACACTAAAAACATGTGCAGATTTCAGAACACTCAGCTTGATGAGTCATATGTTAAAGATATTCCTCCGAATTATACATAATAGAATTTATCCAAAACTCGAGAAACAAAAGAGTGATACTCAGTTTGGTTTTCGCAAAGGGCTTGGTACTAGAGAAGCCTTGTATGGAATACGAGTCCTAATAGAACGTTACCATGACTATAACAGAGATGTCTTTTTATGTTTTGTTGATTTCGAAAAGCTTTCGACACTGTAGACATGGCAAACTCATAGAAATTCTGAAGCAATGCCGATTAGATGAAAAGTATATCCGAATAATAGCAAACTTATACTGAAAGCAGTACGCAAATGTTTGCTTTGATGGTTACTTAACGCAAGAAGTAGAAATAAAATGCGGGATTCACCAAGGGTGCATTTTGTCACCATTACTGTTTATATATACTCGGAGAATATTTTCAAAGAAGCACTACAAGATGCGATGGTTAACGGGGTACTTATAAACAATTTGAGGTACGCAGATGGTACAGTGCTTATTGCCGATTCAATAGAGGGCTTACAGAACCTGTTAGACGATGTTGCACTAAATTGCAGAGAAGACAGCCTAAAATTAAATTGCAGTAAAACCCAATATATGGTGGGAAGCAAACGTCCTATTCCTGGAGGAAGACTGACAGTATTTGGTTCAGCCATAAAATGAACCGATAAGTACAACTACTTGAGATGTCAGCTTAATGAGCAATGGGATAATAGTAAAGAAATACGTGTCCGAATTGAAAAAGCAAGGTCGTCTTTCATCAGAATGAAAAACTTGCTGTGTACCCGGGAGCTGTCATTACCGCTTAGAATAAGAATGCTGCGGTGCTATATATTCTCTATACTTCTCTACGGGACAGAGGCTTGGACGCTGTCTGTTGCATCGATGAATAAACTCGATGCTTTTGAAATGTGGTGCTACCGACGTATGACAGAAAAAATTACAAATACAGTGGTACTTCGGCGTGTCAAGAAAGAGACAGAAATATTAGAGACAGTAAAACACCGAGTTTTTTGAAGTTTTTGTAGTTTTTGGTCATATTCTGAGGCATCCGGAAAAGTATGAACTACTAAAATTAATCATTGAAATCAGAATTGAAGGTAGAAGTGGCCCTGGGAGACGAAAGATATCATGGCTTAATAATTTACGTCATTGGTTTAATAAAAATACAAGATCACTTTTTCGAGAAGCTGTAGATAAAATCAAAATAGCAGTCATGTTAGCCAACGTTCGAAGCGGACAAGGCACCTAGAAGAAGAAGAATACACATCAAAACCGGTTTACATATAAACCTATTGACTACAAAGAGAAAAGTTGAACCAATAAAAATAAGAAGGCTATTTCCAAGTGTTGACGAAGTTATACAAGCATACCGAGGCTTTTAACATCGGAGTGAAGTAAATACAAGCGTTCCGAGGCTTTTAACATCGGAGTGAAGTTAATACAAGCGTACCGAGGCTTTTAACATCGGAGTGAAGTTAATACAAGCGTACCGAGGCTTTTAACATCGGAGTGAAGTGAATGCAAACGTACCATCGAAGTAAAACACAGCAGAAAAAGCGTACCGAGGCGCTCAACAAATCAAATCAAATACTAACAGAGGACATCATGGAGATAGAAGAGATAGATCAAGTTATCCAACATCAAAAGGACATTGAAGGTGAGATCCAGAGGATCTGGATAAATTTTAAAAAGGATTCTTCTACAAGATATTCAAAGCAGTATTTTGAGACACGTTTGGAAAATTTGCGTCAGAAATGGGACGCATTTGAAGACAACAATGATAATCTGATCAAGAATTTGAAGCCTGATCATGAATATATCACAAAAAATTACTATGGCCAGTAAACAACAAAGACGGAATGAAATCTAAAATCGATTTAATAATGAATTGGAAATAATAAGGCAAATGGAGCAAAAGGAAGCTTAAGTATCAAGGCATCAAGTTATAAGAGGGCAAGAAGAAGCTCGGTCACTAAGGAATCAAGACATAAGTATCAATGACGAAGTCACCATCACCGGGCCATGTGATATCACGAACAAACGTTTAGCAATCTTAAGTACAAGTCTGTTGCAGATCAAAGAGACAATAGACTTAACGAAAAGTATTGAAACGTTACAGTTCAAATTGGAAAAATTGAAGAATTGTTGGGCAAAGATCTCACAATTAAACGATGAACAATCTTATCAATAAGTTATTGTCGCTCAGAGTTATAAGAACTGAGAATGCACAGGATTTAAAAACATTAGTGGATTCTTCTAGAGAAATGTTATATGGTATACGTAATTTAAATGTGGACACGTCAAGTTGGGATCCACTAATTATACAGATACTGCTTCCAAAATTAGATCGTGAAACCAGAAAATTATATTAACATTCAAGAGGGGCATCCACACAAATACCAAAATTGAGCAGCTTATACGAGTTTATCGAGAGCAGAATTAGAGGATTGGAGGCAATTCAAGACACAAATCGCGAAAATAAGAATAATTTTCGACCAACAGCAGTAAATACAAAAACGCATGTAAATACAATACATACGCTATGTTTAGTGTGTAATGGTGACCACCAATCAATTCGATGTTCAAAGTTTCTGAATATGAAGGTGCCGGAACGTCGTGAAAAGATTATGAGCGCCAAATTATGTTTTAATTGCCTTCAGAGTGGGCATTTTAGTAAGTTGTGCTTGTTTAAAAAAAGATGTGCAATTTGCGACAAAAAACACCATCAACTTATTCATGAACAAGTTAAGGGCAAACCAACAGTCACAAATAACATAAGTAAACAGAGGATGCCAACATTGAAGAACACCACAGAGACCGAAGTGGCAGCGTCGTACAACATCCAAAAGGAAAAAACTGTTTTACTAGCAACAGCAATGGTAATTATAAGGACTAAAAAACAAGTTAATCCGATACGAGCGCTTCTTGATCAAGGATCACAATCTTGTATAATAACAGAACAATTAGCAAGATCAATCAGAGCACCACTGACCAATTATCAAACTCATGTAAAAGGTATCAATGGACAAACAACAAGCGTTATAGCCAAATGTTCATTAGAAATTAATCTATACATGATGAAAATAAGAGCTGTCATATCGAAACAATAGTGTTACCAAAAATCACATCAAAAATGCCAAAAGCAGAATTCACGCCAGGAAAATGGTCGCATATTGATGGATTGCAGTTAGCAGATCCTTGGTATGCTGAACCAAAGAAAATACAATTGTTAATCGGGTCGGACGTATTACCAGAAGTGTTTAAAGAAGGATTAATTAAAGGGCCAGACAACTCTCCAATGGTTCAAAACACATTATTTGGATGGATATTATCAGGACCTTTAGATGTAGAGCGTACAATCACAAACAAAATAATGTTATGCTCCATGGCTTGCGAAAGCAGTGACCAGTATTTAAAACGGTTTTGGGAATTAGAGGAAATTCCAAATGCAGACTTAAGAACAGTAGAAGAAAGGCATTGTGAGCGACATTATGATTCAACTTGCACCCGCGATAAAACAGGACGATACATCGTTAGGTTACCACTGAAAAATGATCGAGAAACGTTAGGTGAATCCAGAAAGAGTAGCAAGAGTAAGAGTATGTGAGCTTTATGCGAGAGTATATCAAGCTGGGTCACATGAAGGAAGTTAATGAGAAACCAAAGACAAAGGTATATTATTTGCCGCATCATGCAGTTATTAAAGAAGACAGCACGACAACAAAACTTCGAGTGGTGTTTGATGCGTCCGCAAAAACGACATCAGGACAATCACTGAACAGTATTATGATGACAGGTCCTACATTACAAAAGGATTTATTCATTCTATTATTGCAGTTGAGAATGTTTAAAATAGTTTTTACGGCTGACATTGAAAAAATGTATCGGCAAATACTGATTCATCATGATGATAGAGATCTTCAACGAATTTTATGGAGAAACGATCAGAAAAAACCAATAAAAGAATACAAATTGAACACGATTACATATGGTACTGCATCAGCACCATATCTTGCCATCAAGACGTTGTTTAAGCTAGCAGAAGACGAGAGAATTAATTATCCTTTGGCAAGTGAAACCTTAAATGAAAAATTTTATGTAGACGATTGTTTGGGAGGCGCTAATACGATTAAAGAGTGTAAACAAGTACAAGAAGAATTAATCCAATTATTGCGGAAGGGAGGTTTTAATTTAAGAAAATGGGCATCAAACGAACCGGAAATGTTGACGAATATCCAGATAAAAGACATTGAACCAGGGTTAGAGATGCAATTTAACAACGACCAAGCGATTAAAATTTTAGGAATAAAATGGTGTCCTAAATTGGATCAATTTGAATTTAAAATAAATACCACGTCATTCAGCTCAAAATACACAAAAAGAGCAATTCTAAGTGATGCTGGAAAACTATTCGATCCATTTGGTTGGTTGTCACCTGTAACCATTAAAGCAAAAATTATGATACAAAAATTGTGGATGCTAGGAATTAGTTGGGATACAGAGATCCCACCCAATCTACAGGCACAATGGGAAGAATTTAAATTGAGATTACCTGCAGTTCAGAAGATAACCATGAAAAGATGGACACAACATTCAGAGAATAGTTTAATCGAGTTACATGGATTTGCAGATGCATCAGAAGCAGGATATACTGCAGTTGTATATACAAAGGTTATCAATGCAGAAAAGGTTACAATATCCCTAGTAGCATCAAAAACCAAAGTTGCGCCTATTAAGCAGGTATCATTAGCCCGATTGGAGTTATGCGCAGCTGTGCTATTGATAAAGTTGATTAATTACATTCAGAAGAATAACAAGATTACCTTTAGTAAAATTATTGCATGGTCAGATTCAAAAATTGTATTAAATTGGCTAAGGTAATACCCAAATAGATGGACTACGTTTGTAGCAAACAGAGTATCGTATATTCAGGATACGTTTAAGGGGCAATTTAGATTTGTTCCAGGAAAAGATAATCCAGCAGATATTTCATCAAGGGGAGTATATGGTGACAATCTTATTTCAAATATATTATGGTGGCATGGTCCAAACTGGCTAATAAAAGATGAAGGAAATTGGCCAGAAAATGATGAAGTAATAGATTTGAATCTTATTCCGGAAACCAGAAAAACTGCAGTATGTACCGTCGTGGACGTTACCAAAGATGAAAATATTATTAATCGATTTTCTTCATTAAAGAAACTTCTTCGAGTGACAGCTTATTGTCTTAGATTCGTTTATAATTGTCATAAAAAGAAATCCGAAAGAAAGATCGACAATCTGTCGGCAGACGATATCGATGCAGCAGAAATTGTGTTGGTGAAGCAGGCACAAAAATGTTTTTCAGATGACATCAGACGGCTTAATCTTCAGAAACAATTAATGAAAAGTAATAAGTTGTGTTCATTAAACCCATTTGTTGACAGTGCAGGAGTACGAAGAGTGGGCAGCAGATTAAGAAATGCAGATTTATCTGACAACCAAAAGTATCCAATAATTTTACATACAACGAGTACTTTGGCCAAGCTCATAATCAATCAGGCGCATATTAATACGATTCATGGAGGATTAAAACTGACGCTTAACTACGTTCGGGAAAAATTTTGGATTATTCGTGGAACAATCGCTGTGAAAGCTTGCATCAATAAATGTTTAAAATGTTTTCGAATAAAGGCAAAAGGACAATCTCAATTAATGGGAAGTTTACCAACACCAAGAGTAAATTTCTCGAGGCCATTCACACACTGCGGCATAGACTATGTAGGGCCATTACACATTAAATGCTCGCAATTCAGGGGAATTAAAACACATAAGGCGTATATAGCTATTTTTGTATGTCTGGCAACAAAGGCAATTCACATTGATTTAACTTCAGATCTGACATCTCAAGGATTTTTAGCAGCACTCAAACGAATGATAAGCAGACGTGGCTCAGTACATCATATTTATAGCGACAATGGTACCAATTTTACAGGTGCAAACAACACTTTATAGAAGATTCAAATAGAGAATCATCTAGCTGAAACAGGTATACGTTGGTATTTCATCCCTCCTGGCTCACCTCACTTTGGTGGTCTCTGGGAATCGGGAGTAAAATCCATTAAATATCATCTAGCTAGAATTATAGGTGACCAAAAATTGATATACGAGGAATTGAGTACGGTCTTAATTCAAATCGAATGTTGTCTTAATTCACGGCCACTCTGTCCATTAACAGACAACATTGAAGATCTTAATGCACTTACACCAGGACATTTCATTGTGGGATCGTCATTAATGACTCCAGCTCATGATAGTCTTATTAACTTTACAGAAACTAGCCTAAAAAGATGGAAGATTGTGCAGAAAATAAAGCAAGACTTTTGTAAACGGTTGTTCCAAGACTATATAAGAAATATTCAACAACAGAGATACAAATGGACAAAATCCATACCAAATTTAGAAGTTGGTCAACTAGCATATTGAAAGACGAAACATAAATATCACCGACGTGGCCTCTAGGCAGAGTTATAGAAGTTCATACAGGAACAGATGGCTTAACCCGAGTTGCTACAATTAAAACCCAAAAGGGGATAGTAAAACGTACAATCCAAAAAATATGTCTTCTACCAATCACTGATAATGTAAAAGAAGGTCATATTCCGTCAAACCAGGAGAAGTTCCCAAAATTATTTAAAGAAGCAACATTAATCAAAGCAGAATCAGACACTCAAAATATGTTACCATTTGGAAACACTATCAGAAATAAAGAAGTAGTTTCGACAAAGTCCACTGCAGGAGATCCTAAAACGCGACGACAATGGTTATCGGCTAGGCAATCAAAATCGACAGTTCTTGCTATATTTTTGGCATATCTCACATTAGGAACTACATTAGCAACACCCACTATAACATATCCCGAATCAGGATTATTCATTGAAGGATTAGGCAAAGCAAAAATACAAAGAGGAACACTTAGAACCACTATCACATTTAAAATCCGTGACATAATTCAAGATCAAAGGAACATTAATAACACCATAAAACAATTAACAATGTTGTGTACCAAATCAAAGGCTGTCAATCCTTATATACAATGTGACGATTTAGTTTCCAATTTAAGTCATGAGAAGAAATCCCCGAGGAATATTAGGTACAGTGTTAACAACACTTTTTGGTGTAAACGATGAAGTGTATCACAACATTGAAACGTTGGATCAAAATCAGAAATTATTGATCCAAAATACTAAATCAAATGCTAGAATCATGATATCCACAATAGCGGCAGTAAACAACACGGAAACTAAAATCATCAACAAAATCAACAGCTTTAGTAAAAGACTAAACGAAGGATTGCAGGCTATCAGTCAGATGCAAGGTTGGCATGATATCGGAGAAGGAAATAAACTGAATATATATGTACTTAATTCATATATAATGGCATCCAATTACATTCGAGAAATAGAAGCAAAATATAATAAGATCTTCAATGTATATTTAAAACGCTGTCATATTTATGAATTCCTTTCGCATGATGAAATCAATGATATTATAACTCGATGTTCCTCAAAAATTGGACCAGAAATGTATGTCTTACCAATTCCGATGAACAGGTTGGAACATGTTCGAGATACTGACAACGTTATAATTTATGGTTATTTCACAATCAGCGATATAGAAGAATATTTTTTTTTTTTTTTTTTTGAAATCCATTTATTTATTACAATCTGTCAGGAATGAATGACAATAAGTAATAT